GAGGAGTTTCTGGGATTCATCAATGGCATCTGTATGTTTGAAGGGACTAGCATGTATAATAGAAAAAGGCCAGCGTGTATAATATAATATAGAATCATAGAACGCGTTGATTGAGCTAGCTTGTTGAACCTACCCATCTAAATGCTACTACCAAAAAGGGTATAGTATATGTGTGATATTGACGTGGATGCCGGCTTGACTATTATTGAGTCAGAGGCTATCTGGCATTGAGATTCTGAATCGTGGAGACGCATGCGATAATGTTGTGTGCCAACCACTCTCAAATATATATCGTCTTGAACCTCCCATCCCCTCATCCCCTCACCCCCATTCACCTCCGCCTTCTTCACCCATCCCATCGAACTAAAACCCCCTACCTACAACCTCCTACGCGGCATCATAAATATCAACCTATATCAAGAACCCGTTAGTCTCATTCAATCCACACCCACACCAATTCCAAGATCGAAGTGACAAAAGGGTAGGAGAGTCCAAAGGAGTTGGGAAAAATAAGTCAGAAGCTGAACGCGTTCTCAGCAAGTGCAACTTTGTGCATCTGAGTGAGCTGGGTATAACGTATGAGTTGTTCATCATTTTATTTCATTTTTGGGGGGGGAGGGGGGGAGCCGGGAACATCGGGCCCAAGCGGGTGCGAATGGGGATGATAACGGAGAGGGGGCGTTGAAAGAGCGAGAGGGGAGCAAGTAGGGTTGGAAGAGGAGAGGAGAGGAGAGGGGAACGTACAGGTTGCGTTTGTGGTGGTGGTAGAGGTTAACGCGACGCTAAGCGTTAGTTCGCTGATGGCGATTTGGCATCGTGTAGAAGAGACGCAAAGGAAAGAAAGGAAAATGAATAATATCCTGAGCCTAATATAAGCTTTGTCACCCATTGAGCTCAATCATCTCATCAATCGAAAGCTTCAATTGGTTGCGCATGGCCTCTGCGACTGTGATCGCAATGCATATCCTCTCATGCAAAAGAGAAGCTTGAACACTGAAAGAGAGGAAGGAGGAGAAGAAGGAGAAGAGGAAGAAGAAATATAGAAGAATTAGCGTGGTGTGGGTTTAGTGCGTGATATGGTCACACTGGGGGGTGTGGATTGGGAGATTGCTCGATGCACGCGAAGTATCATTCAATTGGTATAACTATCTCGTAGGATTGCACATTACATGACATTTTCATCCATCTCTCAAAATCTATCTTTCGTTCTCTCAAGCTCAGCATTCCCACATCTTAGCTGTAGTAGCAGTTTCCATTTATCCTCCATATCATCATAATGAGCGTTATTTAAAGGAGCGTCTATCATTCAGTTATAAATGAGTCTATTGCTTAAGTCAGTATATGATTTTGGGGGATTAAAGTCTAGAGGGATAGGGGGACTGACGTATAAGTTTTTTGACCGTTTAAGCATCGGCAGAAACATCTTCAGGCTTTTAGTTATCGTGGTTGGCCTATATGCATCGCAGCTAGTAGTTGGGGGCTGCTGTAGGTGTTGCTGTAGGTATGTTTCCGTAGTCACCATCTGCATGAACAGAACGCAAAGTCAGCATTATTCCGGCAAAGCCTTGAGACAATTGAGAACATATGAGAGTGCAAGCCTGGCTTTAAAGAAGAAGGAAGGGGGGCTTACAGTTATAGTACTGTCCATAACCATCACGCTTTGCTTTCGTAGCTATAATTGAAGCTCTGGCCAGATTCTTGTACTTATGATCGTTTCTATCATCACGCCTTGCTGCTGGTGCAGGAGTAGGTGGTGTATATGGGGCTGGCGGATAATGATAGTCTGATACTATATGTCAGTAAATTGCTCCCCCATTATAAAGAGAGTAGACCAACCTTGATCGAATGGATCAAGTGGTGCAGCATTACGCTTTCCTGGTGGTCCAGGTATAAGATTAATGGCTGTTGTAAATGTGGGTTCAGGATCTGCAAATCGTACACCATCACGTTTTGCTGGTGGTCCAGGTAAACGAGTTACAGGAACAAGTGGTGTATATTCTGCTGGTTGAGCTTCTGCAAATGGTGCAGCTACCGCACCAGTAGTGGCGAATGCCACAAGCATGACAAAGTCTCGTGAAAAAAGCATATTGAATATTCGACTGTAGATGAATGGTAAAAGAGGAGAGAGGTGTGAATGATGAGTAAATATCGCAGAGGCGAGGTGGTGTTCGGTCTATATGTATTCCCAAATACCTACCTACTGATCGGGATAAATCCTGCTCAAACAAGCTATTCAAAGTATATTATCTATTCAGATACGTAGCATCGATGGGAAAGGTATAACTCCAACGTCAACCACACCGACACCGACATATGCATATGCATATGGCAAAGTAAGGATCCCGAGTTGATTCGTATTTCCACCAAACTCCAACATTGGGAGACCCATGATAGCTCGTATCTTGAGGAGGAGGAGGAGGAGGAGGAAGAAATAGTCGATATATAAGTTTACCGTGTAACAAATGGAGAGGGGAATACTACAATGTGACTTGATGGATCGATCCTTTCTTCATCATCCTCTGTACATAATTAAATTATAAATTATCTATGTACTAATCATTACGTATTGGTTACTTTTATGATTATACAAATGTTGCAATCCTACCCAGCTCGCAAGAAAACCTTATAGACTAGAACACTCTTGTTCTATACAATCTGGATATGAATAGCAAGCATATAGATAATAACTTGACAATTTACCAAAGATTAAGACTTTCAATCTAATAACGTATCTATGACAAATTTTGGATTCTAAACTATAATCTTCATCAGGAGTTGTTGTATCAGGGAAAGCGAGCAATACGCGAGCAATACGCGAGTTATTTCGTTTTTCATCATTTATAAAAACTCGATATAAGAAGACCAGTCTATTTTCCCACCAAAAATCCGTTGGAGCCGAGACTATTGTCTTTCTAGTTCTTTCTTTTTCATCATTGATCGGCGATCTATCTACGGTGGGATCGGGAGTGCCGGATTTACGGGCCACGATAGTATCCCGTATCCCGTATCCCGTATCCCGGATCCCGGATCCCGGATCCAGTGTCCCACATCTTGTCCAACGTCTATATCGCACAAGTTGGCTTTTTTGGCTCTTAGCTTTCGGTTTTTGACTTTGGGCATACGTTATGCGTCATGCGTCGTGCCATGCGTCTTTCATTCGGGTGCCATGTTCCTACTGTAAGTATTATCTATCCACATCGGATCATCATGTCTATTCGTTCGTGTGAGGCTTAATTGATGTTGTACCTTCTCTTAGATGGCGCCGTCGCTAATGAAGTACGACGCAAACCTTTTCCTAACCTCACTTCATTCGTCTCATGTTTTTCTCTCAAAGTTATCTATCTCAATTATACCTTGTTTGATCTGATCTCATCTCATCACCCACACATTCAAATGCATCATTGTTTTCAACTTGCAAGGACTTTCATTTGGAGTTTCTAATCGTCCCTCGGCATGTCTTTTGCTCCATTTTCAGACAAGTATGACCAAGTACCTCAGTCAGAAGATGCTCAAGGGTTCCTTTCAAATACTGAGTCGACATGTAAACAATCATCGAGGCGAAATGCTATCTTTTGGCATATCCTATCATTACCGGTGATATCGTTATTGTCAATCGCTTTTGGCATATGGATTGGTGGGAGACCGGTGGATCCTGCCAAATTATGTCCATCATATGTGCAACATTATTGTATGGCCTAGAATCTAATACCTTCACATCTCATTCTAACATGAAAGAAAGCTCCTGTTTTGAACGATATCGATACCTCATATCGCCCAGTAATGTTCAATGGATCATTCATGAAAGAAAATGTCTTTAGGTTGAAAGCAGGTCCTGAAGTTGATGAAGCATGGGCGAGCCTAGGAGTAGACTGTAAGTACTCTCTCTCCCGACATCAATTGACTTATGGCTGAAGCTCACATTTCATAGATCGAAGTTTCGCATTGCCTGCAGATGAAGCAGAGAAATCTGGATTGACATCCGCTCATGTTCAAATCAATGAGAAGTATGGAGGGGGATTTCCAGTCAACTTGGAAGGAATGCATCATTTACATTGTCTTAACCTTGTGAGGCAATCACTCTACTACAACTACGATTATTATCACAAGCAAGGAAAAGGAGCATTTGCAAATGATGACACGATCGTTCAATACCACGTCTGTAAGTCTACCCCTGTTCCACTCTACATCGTATTCCTCATCCCTCAAGCACAATGCCAAAAAAAATCTAACTCCCCCCAGCCCACTGCTTAGACATCATCCGCCAACAACTCATGTGCCAAGTCGACACCGGCGTCCTCGGCCAAGTCTGGTGGGACAAATCTAAACCCAACGCTTTTGTAGATTTCAACACCGAACATAGATGCAAAAACTTCGATGCGATACGACAATGGGCAGAGGAAAGACAATTGCCCGCATCGAGTCCGGAGGACTTTTTGCAGGCGCCAAAAGAGAGCGATGTTCTTGAGAGCATACCATAGGGGAAATAGATGATGAGATGAATGATGTGATGGGAGCAAAAAATCTATGTATCAATGAATGAGGCTAGGTTTCTTATGGTGTTTTGGGGAGGGGATACGATATACATCGATCGTATGGGATTGGATTTGATGGGAATTACCTGGGGTTTTGTAACGAGTAATGTCAACTACAGATGAAGGACTACAGAAACGGGTATTAGGGATCTCAAGCGAGATTTGTAGTACATGTCAGCCCAAAGTATTCACGTCTCTATCATGTCCATTTCTGAGTACTCTCTATACTTTCACTTGACAAACCTTATTAGCTAACTTTAACCTCTATCACCTTGTACTATCTATTATATGGACCGGATCAAAAAAGGACAAATATCTTTGATCGATATTAAGCAGTAGCGATCAACAAATAATACCGCTAAAAGGAAAGAACACAGCCACAGCCACAGCCACAATCAATCCAAAACCCCACATCCTTCTTTCTGCAAAATTCAAAACGATAAACGAGGAAAACAAAAGAAGAATTGATGCTGCGAGAGGGGTTCGAACCCTCGCATCTTTCGATAATGGTGAATTCCTAAGAACTTAAAACCATCGCCTTAGACTGTTGACGAGATGTTAGCGTTGATCTTTGTTGACTGACATGAGAAGTCGGTTACATACCCACTCGGCCATCGCAGCAGGTGTGTTTTTTGATGACGAATCTGCGCGTTTCTTAGTATATATAGTACCTCTCGTGCGAACGATGAGCTTTCGACAGTTTACTACTCGCCGTATTACATTTGGATTCTTCAATTGTGACGCAGAACTTTCTATATCTGCTTCGCTTTATTCTAATCATCCTTTACTAAAGTAGCTAGCTTCCTTTGTTCTCACCTCGCCTTGCCATCCTTTCCTTCTTAGCGACGTCATAGTAAATAAGAGATGAGAAACATAATGGATCCATTCTATCATAAAATGTTACTTCTCAATTCATTATAACTTCTTCAACATGTGTTAACAAAGAACAAACTCACTCTCATCTGCCATGTCATTTGTGCCAAATTACTAACCTTCTCTCACTTCCTGCACAATGAACGACCCAGGTCTCGATGAACCCATCTCCAAAGACGCGAATGATGTAGAAAATCAACAACGCGATGAACGCGATGAAACCAAAGAAGATGAGGATGCTTTCCTTGAGCCAAGGTACGTTAATGGAACGATTTTACAGACACAACTGCCGGCCGCAGACTCCGCTAACAAACACCTTTCCAGTCGCTGGTGGTTTACCAGTACTGCATTCCCTCTTGCTGCTGGTACATTTGGGCCTATGGCCTCGGCATTCAGTATTTGCGCATTAGCTGTGCATTGGAGAGTATCGATACCCCCTGGGGGGGTAGAAGAGCATGGAATCTACATTGACGACCCGAAGTGGTATGCGCTTAGAGGAATGCTGGGAGAGGTTTCTGCTAACAGGAAGGGACAGGTTGGTGGGGGTAAATGCGGCGCAATTAGCGATTGCCCTTATATCGAATCTATTTCTACTTCTAAATATGGCGGAAAGGGTTCGGTTTTCAGTCGCACAACCTATCACAATTCTTGGCTGGTATCTATCTTCATTCATATTAATGGGGTTGACAGCTTGCGCTTCTGGACCTTCAACTCTGCCATCGCCTCCGAACCATGCCTATACCCAGGCATTCTACTACGCGATATTTGCTGCGGGTCTATACTTCCTAGTGGCTAGTTTGATGGTGGTTACCGTATACGGAGCTTATAAAGGTCACTATCCAAAGGAGTTCAAATTGACCATGAGTCAAAGAACTTTGATGTTACAGACGATTACCTTTCTGATATACCTGCTTGCAGGTGCAGCAGTATTTGCACATGTCGAATCATGGCAATATCTTGATGCGCTATATTGGTGTGACTTTACACTTTTGACAATTGGCATTGGAGATTACGCACCAATGACACATTTAGGAAGAAGTCTCCTGTTCCCATTTGCAATCGGTGGTATCATCATTCTAGGCTTGCTTATTGGCTCAATTCGATCACTCCTTCTCGAACGTGGAAAAATCAAGCTAAGTGCAAGAATGGTCGAAAAAGAACGAAGACGTATTTTAAAGAAGACGCAGAAGAATCATGTTGCAGTCTTGAAGCCCATCGTAGCGGAAGAGTCTTCTCCCGAGTCAAATAATATGCTTGTCAATGATGATGGTCTTACGGAAAGGGGAAGACGTCAGCAAGAGTTTGAATTAATGAGACGAATTCAAGAAGATGCAGCTAGCAAACGTCGTTGGACTGCATTGATAATTTCTGGAACCACATGGTTGATACTTTGGTTTGTTGGTGCAGCAATATTTCGAGTTACGGAGTATACGCAAAACTGGAGTTATTTTCAATCCCTTTATTTCTCGTATACATCTCTTCTGACAATTGGATATGGTGATTTCTATCCTCAATCGAACTCCGGAAAACCATTCTTCGTTTTCTGGTCTCTTCTTGCTATCCCCTCTCTCACGATACTCATTAGCAACATGGGTGACACAATCATCAAAGGGATCCGCGACTTTATTCTTTGGATCGGAAACTCCACTATTTTACCTGGAGAAAAGGGGGTAAGGCACTCTCTTAAAGAAACAACGAATAAGATGACATTTGGAAAACTATTCCAAGTATCCGAATTACCTCCAGGTGCCGAAGGGGCAGCAGCTCCTCGCGATGATGAGAAAAAAGCCACTGGTCGTAGTGCCGCTAAAAATGCCCCGGAATCTGTAGCACAACGTTTGGAAGACGACCGCGAGGGTATTGAAAGTAAACGCGCTAGGAAACGCGGAGAACATAACAATGTACTGCCTCAAAATCGACATCATTATCATTGTATCCTCATTACAGAAATCGGAAGAGTGATGAAACATTTGAACAGTTCGCCCCCTCGTAAATACACATTCGACGAATGGGCATGGTATCTTAAATTGATAGGGGAGGATGAGAGTAACTCTGGGAAGCATAGGAAGGCAAGCAGAAGACTGAAGGAGTTAGAGGAAGAGGGGTTGGGTGGTGCAAAGGGGGAAAGAAGAGAGGATAGGGGAGAGACGTGGAGTTGGGTGGGTAATCGGAGTCCGTTGATGGGGAATAAAGAGGAGAGTGAATGGGTGTTGGAGAGGCTACATGGCACGTTGGAGAGGGAGTTGGAAGATGTGAGAAGAGAGGAGACGGAGGGAAAGGGGAGTAGAGAAAGGGCAACTGCGGGGAAAGGGGCGGGGGAAGAAGGTATACGAGGTGAAGAATGAGGAGTTGTTATGCAGAGGAGTCGCATTCTGCATGGAATGGCGTCTGAGGACAGCATTGATACCTTGGGCTTCAGTCCGGTGCTGGGAATCTGTTGGTGCATATTGGGGTTTGAGCATTTAAGATACCATGAATTTAGCCATTTCCGCTTTGTATCCTCAGATTCACATTATACGTGATCCCGTGGTGCGTCTGCAAGCGGAGACCATACGAAATGTCCCACGCATCCCATCATCTTCTCGGGTTTCATTCTCATTTCTGTGCTTTCTTTTATATCCTTTGAGAAATTTGTTTCTCTTCGGAGTCATTGGGAATATTTGTACAAATTGGCGTTTGGATTGATTAGTGTCTTTGCTATCACATACTGATTGAGGTATAAAATAAAAGAGATCTCACCATCTGGTTATTTTTTGTAAGCAAAAAATATCATAATGCTCTTATTGATAGGATGCAGTACAAGATGATCCTGCACACTCCCGAAGATGATGGATGGGATGGGAGGAAGGAAGGTAAATATTTGCATAACAGATGGTGATTGAGAATTTGATGGTTGGGTTATTGATGAGGACGAATTAGCTGGAGTTTCCGATGTTTTTGGTCAACTTTTTGTGGTTTTGTATGATGGTACGTACGATGCTAGAATTGGACTCTGGGGGAATCAATATGGATTGAACAGGTTCTATGACTTCTCCCCTCCTCAGTGGGGCGGGCTCATATAGATAGATAGTAGGGATGGATTATAGTTGGGGTTGGGCTGATGGGAGTTGAATGTATAGGAGTAGTAAGTCCTAGGATTTAGTGGAGATGTATGTATGAAATCTGCGTGTGAGGGCTGGGTTGAATGTATGTATGTATGTATATCAATACATTTGGTCTTTTTAATATAGACATCGACATAACTCGTTGGGTTCAAGAGTCATCTATGAGACCTACAAGTTTAACTCTCTCTGTTCGATTTCAAATTCTCATATTCATTCTTACTCGTAAGAATTGATAGCGATTTCTTGGATAGGATTTTCATTTTTATTGTTGTCTTGGTAGGTCTAACCGTCGTTATATATAATTCTGAGGCTTCTATCATCTCATCCCATAGATAGTTGATGAACCATCTCTTTGCAAACAACATGAATCAAACGAGTCAGAAACTCATTTAAGAATCGCTTGTTGGCCTGCATTTCAGGTTCTTGGCAGTTTGTGATGTCGATGTACCTGGGGGTTTGTGGGAAGGATTGAGAGGGTTCTTATAGGGATAAGTAGCTTTTACTGACGAGGATGAGGATTTGAAAAGGAAATAGGAGGGGGGCGGCCGAATAAGCGAGTCAGTACGTAAGCTAGTAGAGTCTGGGGCATAAAAGGAAGTTATTGAGAGCAAGTGGTGTGCGTATGCAAGGAAAGTACGCTCAAATTCACCTCAAATCAAGTTTTAGAGTCGTGTTCCTAGGTAGGAATCCCACGAATTCCTTCCTACCTTGTTTGGGAGCCATAAACAAATCTAACACCATTGTCAATTCAATTCCCCTCAAGCCCCCTTCCACTATTACATAAACACCTCAGATCGACTTTCATGCATATACGGTGGAAAATGACAAGAGTCCGAGATGAACGACGTTGAACGACGTTGAAAGTTGGGCGGGAGTGAGTATGACTACAGAGACAATGATAACTTAAATAAACAATGATAGTGGGGGGGGATGTGACCGGTCACTGACCGGGAGTTTCTTGATATATTTTGAATGAGCAATTCGAGAACGTCAGACGAAGAAGTTCCCTCCCTCCGTATCTGATAAAGAGTACCTTTCAACTCATTGCGATGTTCCTCCCATCACACTTTCAAGTTATATATATCCATTAACACAACTCCGACATGAAGCGGTTCTGATATTAGTCTGATCCTTCTCTTAATCTAGTATCATATATATGTACGTAGGTAGTAGTGGTAATTCATAATCGATTTGATCCAATTATAGCTAATGCTACGCGGATCATGCGATTCCGAGTTACCTACGGTAAAGAACCGTTATGCACGTAGGTATAATATATCTTGCCTCCCCTCAATCAAACTCCCAAACAATGTACAATCCTCAAAGCCCTCTCCATCTATCTAAAAATCTCCTGTCCCTTCTACATCTCCGCCTATCTCTGCTTATGCCTATACATAAACCTCAACCCCAAAAATGCCAAAACCCTATAGGCTGCACCCAGCGCAAAAAGCATCAACATGTCCCGAGTAAAATGACCCAAATTATATCCCAGAGCCTCCTTCGCCAACTCAAGATTGTACAGATAGCCCATCGGGCTAACGTTTTGAGTAAAGTACCCCTCCGCCAACCATGTGCCCGGACTTGCTCTCCAAATCCATGTCATGTGCCAACTTCTGACTTTATGTATACTGGGTGACATACCGT